TTCCCCTGAGTGCTACCAGGAGTGACTAGAAATAACGGTAACAAACTGGCAGAGGATAAATTCAAGCTAGATATCAGGAGGTGCTACTTCACTCTCAGGGCAACTAGGATCTGGAAACAACTTCCAAGAGAAGTGGTGCTGGCTCCTACGCTGGGGGTCTATAATAAGAGGCTAGATGAACACCTTGCCAAGGTCATTTAACCCCAGTACTCTTTCCTCTCATGGCAGGGGGTCGCACTTGATCTGTTCAGGTCCCTTCTGACCCTACCAACCATGAAACTATGAAACCTTTTTAGTGTCTAGCTCCATAAACTAGTATGGAGCCATACTTGACAATCTAGGCAGCTTGACCCATGAGATCCCATGGACAAACAAGTCTAACTTTCCTCAGAATTTGATCAATCACAGCAGAAGTAGCTGTGCTGGTGTTGAAGGCAGCGGCAGACTGATCTAAAATAGAGGTAAAAAAATAACTATCTAGGGAAGGGAGGGGAGTTACCCCAGTGTGAGGAAACCTGTGAAAAGAAGAAAGGGAAAGCACAGCAGAGCCACATCTTTACTTCATAACTTGGGACCAGCAGGAATGTATGCCCTTTTCATTGTTATCTTGTAAAGCATTTACTGTTCCACTTAAAAGCTGTTCAGCTGTGTCTCTTTTCTAGTAATTCTCCCATCAAGGTGTGGCAGGAGAGTTAGACCAGGTGAGGCTATATTCTATCAAAGGGACCCAGTAACACTTATAGATGCTTTAGTTTATGTTTTATCTCTGCAGGGGCATTTCTTACTTAAAGGATATAACCCATTAACTTTTCAAAGCTTTCTAACATGATTTCTCTTTTTCCTTTAAGTGGACAATATACAGATCTGAGTAAAAAGAATGATACCTCTACACATCATTTTTTGTGTCAAATACCTTAATGTTTATGTGTTCTTTGGGATTTAGGATAAGACTGGAGATCCAGGGCTGTTCTTCAGCCACGTGGATTCTCTCTCCAGCAGCCTTATTTCTCCTGATGTCTTCCCAAAACACATCCATTGCTCTGACACTTCTGCTTTTGTTGTCATGTTCAAGGACTTTCTTTCCTTTAAACCTCACACCTGTGGAAAAGTTAGATAAAACCTATTTTGCACTTATCTCTTCCCATCTTGCCCCCCACATCCCATCCCAAGCAATATCTATAATGGTGCTTTTAGTCTTTAATGACCAGCCTATTTACAGGTACACATGCAGGAATTACTTCCCTGTCATAGTTTCATAGTTTCATAGTTTCTAGGGTCTGAAGGGACCTGAGAAGATCATCTAGTCCGACCCCCTGCCATGGCAGGAAAGAGTACTGGGGTCAAACGACCCCAGCAAGGTGTTCATCTAACCTCTTCTTAAAAACCCCCAGGGTAGGAGCCTGCACCACCTCTCTTGGAAGTTGGTTCCA